GCCTCTGCCCTGGACAAGAAGCAACGCAACTTTGACAAGGTATTAGCTGATGGCTACTGTTACAGAGAATTGTTTTTGCTGTCCTCAAGGAAATCTGTCTTGTAACCTGATCACTTGGTAGGATTGGGTTCTGGTATCATGTACAAAAGGCCAACCCTTGACTTTTGCTCCAGTGCAAAAATGCATCTTATTGTTTCCTCCAGGTGCTGGCTGAGTGGAGACAGAAGTATGAAGAGTGCCAATCAGAGCTGGAGACCTCTCAGAAAGAGTCTCGCGGCCTGAGCACAGAGCTCTTCAAACTCAAGAACTCCTACGAGGAGAGCCTGGATCATCTGGAGACCATCAAGAGGGAGAACAAGAACCTCCAAGGTACCTGTCCTTGTAGCTCACATTATGAATACCCTGTTAGAAGGTTGCATTAAAACAAAGCATTAGTTTTACCTTGAATTTATAAATAATACAGAACAACTTTTCTATCTCTGCTCCCTCAGAGGAAATCGCCGACCTGTCAGATCAAATCAGTCAGGGAGTAAAGACCATCCACGAGTTGGAGAAAATAAAGAAGGGACTGGACCTGGAGAAAAGCGAGATTCAAGCTGCCCTGGAGGAAGCTGAAGTGAGCGTTTTGCTGAGTTCTCTCACTTTCTCCTTCTTGTGGTCTGGGATATTTTTCTTCAAGCATTAAGCTCTGTCTGTTTTAGGGCACTCTGGAGCATGAAGAAAGCAAAACTCTCCGCATCCAGCTGGAGCTTAACCAGATCAAAGCTGACGTTGACAGAAAGCTGGCGGAGAAGGATGAGGAAATTGACAGCCTCCGGTGAGATTAACTGATACTTTTGTCCTTCTTTATAGCAGAAACGTGATTCTATCCCATCAACCACTCCATGCAAACGGGCACCACCTAATCTTTCCCTCCGTGACGTCTTTCACCTTTTTAGCCGTAACCACCAGAGAACACTGGAGTCCATGCAGGCCACCTTGGATGCAGAGGCCAAGTCTCGCAACGAGGCAGTGCGCCTGAGAAAGAAGATGGAGGGCGACCTGAATGAGATGGAGGTGCAGCTGAGCCATGCCAACCGGCAGGCCTCAGAGTCCCAGAAACTCCTGAGAAACCTGCAGGTTCAGATCAAGGTGAGTCCTCTAGCAGCCGGTCCATGAGCTTTCCTGTTGTGTCAGATTCACATGTACAGTGTTTAATTAAATATTTTGCTTCTACACGATCTGTGACTCCAGGACATTCAGTTGGAGCTTGATGAGACTATTCACCAGAACGAGGAGCTGAAGGAGCAGGTGGCGGTGACAGAGCGGCGCAACAACCTGCTGGCTGCTGAGGTGGAGGAACTCAGGGCTCTCCTGGAGCAGAACGACCGGGCACGCAAGCTAGCTGAGCATGAGCTGCTCGAGGCCACCGAGAGAGTCAACCTGTTGAACTCTCAGGTAGAAAGATGGGATTTAAAACCACCCTGCAATACATTTGTGATAAATAAACTGACTTCAAATAAATAAATGTGCTTGTCAAAGGATGGTCATTTGCTTTCAGTCGATGGGCATGAAGACGGTATGTCATTTTCCACGCTTGCGAGTCTTTTTGGTTGTTAGCTGAGAATATTCTGCAAAAGTATACTTTTCTAGCCTACTTGTTGCTCTGGTTCAGCTGCTCTGATTCCATTGAATCCCAGCGAGTGGTTACCAGTCTTAGAAATGAAAGAAACCTCATTTGAAAACAAACAAAATGGCATTTTAATCCTGATCCTTTTCCCCAGAACACTGGACTGATCCACCAGAAGAAGAAACTGGAGAGTGATCTATCCACGCTGTCAAATGAAGTGGACGATGCTGTGCAGGAGTGCCGCAATGCAGAGGAGAAGGCCAAAAAGGCCATCACTGATGTAAGATAAAATAAAACAAAATGAAGTGCATAATAGAAGATATTTACACTACTAAATAACTCAACATGTATCTACAGGAGGTTTGATAGTGATCTGGTTGACTTTCCAGCCTTTGTTGTGTTTGTAATACTCTGTAATTTGATCTCTGCTGTAATTAACCAGCTTACGTAACGTCTTCCATACAGTCCACTGTAAGCTGTGGCAGAGGCCTGTTGATGTTGCTGCTGTTGGTTCCAGTCCAGTCAGAGATTACTTAATGGTCATTTAACACTGATGCTCTGAATTTGTAGGCAGCCATGATGGCAGAGGAGCTGAAGAAGGAGCAGGACACCAGCGCCCATCTGGAGAGGATGAAGAAGAACATGGAGCAGACCATAAAGGACCTGCAGATGCGTCTGGACGAGGCTGAGCAAATCGCCCTTAAGGGAGGCAAGAAGCAGGTCCAGAAGCTGGAGGCCAGGGTGAGAGATTTCACAAATTAAATGACGCACCTGATAATCCTTGTAATGGGGTAATGTGTTTTGTTTGTAATGAGTGGACTTGTCATTTCTGGATTGTGCTGCTAGGTCAAAGAATTGGAGAATGAACTGGAATCTGAGCAAAAGAAGAGCCAAGAGTATCAGAAGGGAGTACGCAAATATGAGAGGAGAATCAAAGAGCTCTCCTACCAGGTAAACACCAGTCTGTTTGCACACAGAGCACACTGGCATGTTTTCATTCTACAAAGTATAGTAAGACTGCCTGTGCTGTTTGTACAGGCTGAGGAAGACAAGAAGAACCTGGTCCGTCTGCAGGACCTCATCGACAAGCTGCAGGCCAAGGTGAAGAGTTACAAGAGACAGACTGAAGAAGCGGTGAGTCCACCATCAGTGGTTTGTACTTGAAAATGATCATCTTAACCACATCATTAACTACAGCTGGAGCAGTTCAAATAGTGGAAAGATAACTGAAGAACCTGGTTTTATTGGTTTCCTCCTCTCTGCAGGAGGAGCAGGCAAACGCCAACCTGTCCAAGTACAGGAAGCTCCAGCATGAGCTTGATGACGCAGAGGAGAGGGCTGACATGGCCGAAACGCAGGTCAACAAGCTCCGGGTGCGCACCCGGGACCAAGGTAGCAAGGTAGGTAAATTTAATACATAATGCATTTCATCTTACAGTATGCTGCCAAACTGTATGACCTTTGGATGCGTTTATTAAAATTAGCCAGCAGGCTTCATAACAAGAACTAATCTTAGAAGGGACTGGACGTAATCCTCTGTTGAAGATGACCTCTCATGTGATCTCTAGTGCGGTCATGAGTAACTCTATGACACTGTGTATGTGGTTGCTAATAAACATCCCTGTCTTGTGTATTTCAGCTTGCTGAGTGATGTGGTGAGGCTGAAAGCTGTGGCCAAACATATCACAGCCAACCAGCTGCAACAGCTGTTCTTGACTGTGAAGACGTACCCAAATAAAGACTTTTAAACCTTTAAATATGACTGTTTTGATGTTTCCCCCCCCCCCCGAGTGTCAATATGTGATAGAGATAGAAATCCCACAAAGAAGGTCTAAAGAAGAATTTATTATAATTAATCTGACAAACAGCTGTTAAATCAGGAAAATTAAGTTCAATACTAGCATCAGAGGAGGTGGAACATGAGGGTGAAAGTTGGTTACAGAAGTAGTACTGAAGAAAGTGAAACCAAACAAGAATCTTTTCCGTTTGATGGTCTAACAAGGTTAGTGAGAGATTAAGACTGAAGTGTGCAGAGGTGAATTTATAACACAACCATGTGAGATTTTATACATTATTCAAATGCAAATGAAAAAATAAAGATGGGCTGTTATCTAAAACTAATTTATCGATCCTGGTGAGGAGAGACAATCATTTGATTTGAGTTTTGAACCGGCTCAATGTGTCTAGTAATATCCTCACTGTGACAAACATTACATAAGTCGCCAGTTAACAAAGTCAAAATATAAGGGATCTAAAATAAAAACCAAATAGTGTTATATTTAACACTACGCAGCATGTTCCTGGCCCAGGGTTTAACATTTCACCATTTCCTATACAAACTAATGAAGTCTTAAGGCCTACTAGGAGCATGACGCCACATACAGCACAACTGTTGAGAACCATTTCTCATCATACAGAAGGATCACTCTCTGAAATTCAGATCACAAAGCTACAGAAATCAGGGTTCAGAGATTGATATTATAGTTGCTCCAGAAGAGCGCTCACAACATTCATGTTTTTAAACCAACAGCCTCATGGACTTCCATGGTGGATGAGTGGAGTGATATAAGGGATTTGGATCAATGATAACACATGATCAGTCCTAAGAATGCAACATGGCTAACAATTTGTCCAAGTCACATCATGTTATCAAGAAACCAATTCATTTATCTCAGGAGTCCCGCAGAGACACAGAAGCACGTGTAAAGTGTAGTTGCATTAACGTCACTGCAAAGCACAAAAGATGAACTGATTTAAAGTATGTGCACACGCCCATCAAGCTATATAAGACATGCTGAACGAAAGCTAGAAAGAAAAAAAAAAAGAAAAAATCATTTCTGGTTAACTAGCTTTAAAGCAAAGAAAAGGCTTTCAAAGTGTAAAGGACATTTGTGGTTGCATCCCAAGGTGGCATAGCACTAGTAACTCATGGCATCAGGGGCCAACTGTAGAAATGCCCTTATACATTCACATGAACATGTATTGTGACTCATAACATGCTGGGAGTAAAACTGTACACCTGTCATTAGTAGTTTGATCTGTACGGTGTCGGGATAAAATATGAGGTAGCTCATCTATTTGTACTTATCTCAGGTTAGGTCTGTTTCATTTAAAACACCAAATATCTGTTCAGCTCTGTATCTTTCATTTCCACAAAACAGCTGCATATTCAGGCCGTGGACACGTCAACATAGCTGAGCCCACTTATTCATCTTTATGCAAACTAAAGATCAAGTGGTGCCATGCAAAAGAGTCTTCACATAGAAAGATTGTCAGCTTGTAGTCAACATCAATACCAGAAACCAGAGAGTGGTAAACCTTCAAACCAATGCTGATGGCGTTGGGCAGAAGGTTAACTCACATAAACTTTGAGTGAACTGGAACAATAGTGGTATCTTAATTCTAGCGCCTGCATAGTTTATTCTCTTCCCCAAGCATCTCTCACAACACAGATACAAATTCAGTTACAAAACAAAAGACATTTTTAAAATCAACAAATGAGTTCAAATATAACAATAAAAACAATTTAATCTGTGCAATGTTTTATTCTACAGTTTATCCAGAGCTAAAAGCATTGTTTTCAACAAGACAAAAGTAAATCAACAAAAATAACCTGGTAAAGACACGAGTCCCTGGGTGACGCTTCTGAAGCCACAAGAGTGGATTGGTTGTAGGTGATGAGCCCCGTGTGATTTGTGAAACATGTCAGCTGGCCCACAAGCTACCTAAATGTGCTGAGTAGAGCCAGAAAGCACCAATCAACAATAACCACCTAATAACACAGGTTAAATGAAAATGCTGTTCATTGAGAAGACACTTGCAAAAAGTCTAATATCACCAGTTTCCCCCACAGGTCAGGCAGTGGAGTGGCATGAAGTCAGAGAGCGGGTAGGTAGTGGAGAGTGAGGCCGGTGACTCCTGCCCGTCCTGTGACGCACCATCAACCTGCACATCTGGGTGTCTGACTGTTTAATCTGTGGCTGTTTTCAAACCAGGTTTCATGTGAAAAGAATATTTCTTACATATAATTTGTTGAATCATACATCTTTTTTCATAGAATTTTGTGTAGGTTATATAAAAGGATCTATTTGAATGTCACCTAAAGCAAACAACCAATGCAGGTGACATTTTGCAAGGTCCCTTTATTGTCTGTTAAACGATGTGGCCGATCTGGGGTGGGCATACAGGTTTCCACCTACTTCCTTTGAAGAAGAGGACGGTAACTTAGCGAGGAGGTGACAGCCAGGCAAATTAGGTCCCCTCACATCTGTGATCACGGCCTCCATGCGAAGGTACAGACAGCAAACAGGCGAGTCTTTACATCCAGAATGCAGTCACAAAGCAACCGGAAGGCTCAGCTCAGTGGAGTCATCACCAGCTTTAGGTGTCCATGCTCCCTGTGACCCTCTGCCCTGTCCCACCCCCAGCGCACTGAGTGCACAACACTGGAGGTCAATCTTCCAGCAGGTCTCTGTCCAGATCCATGAAGGGCTCATCAATGTAGCTCGCTATGGCGCACAGAGAAGTCCTGTCTGAGCCCAGCAGCACTGACACCGTCTCCTTCCAGTAGCTGAAGGGGATACAGGAGCTCTGAGGAGGGAAACCAGAGAGGATTTTACACAATAAAACTCATTTTGATTTAGTGTTCGTTATGGGCAGCTTCTTAATTAGATTCCACAGTATGTGGAAAAGGTTAGAAGCCGCAATTTCTCGTGTACGGGATAGTTCTGGGGGAATTTCACTAGTTTGCTTGCTCAGCAGAGCAAACGGCTCAGCTGTATTCCTGGATGTCTACTGGTAATATCTGTATATTAAGTTGATCATTTCACCATCAAATAACAGTAAATGAGATTATATCAACGATATAAGATTGTTGTGTTTTCATGTGCCAACATTTACAGCAATGTAACCTGAAGCTACAAACAATAATGTAATGGTTGGGTTGTGTATACATACATACATACACATACACACGAAAATATTATCAAACACTGGTGGCGTTGAAGCATGGAGTGACATTTCTGGCCATATGAGGGCAGCAGAATGAGCAAATACACAACTTGTTAGCAAACAGTTGCCTATTTACACATCCAGCAGTTGTGGAGCAGCATTAACATTCATTCATGTTTCAGGCCAGCTGGTGAATGTTTTGGTCCTACCCAGCTCTTGAGAAATATCTGGCAAATCACAGCTACCTAACTATCTGTCTGCCCTTTGGTGCTGGGCCAGTACCACACAGAGGATTTATCTGAGCTTTTTACTGAAACATTAGCCTGCTGCAGCTGGGGAAAAAAACAAAACACTGAAGAGGTGAGAGTGAACAAAAGCAAAGTCATGGGCCGTAAAAGCCAAATCAACAAGCAGAAACAAGCTAAAATGCTTCGCAGAGCTGAGGCGAACTGCAGAGAGGATGATAACGCGCGTTTGTCACTATGAGAGAACTCTTTCACGTTACAGATATTCATTTGATTCATTGACAATATCAGAATATAGGTTAATGCAGCTTTAATGTAAGGCTGAAGAATACAAAAAGTATGAAAACTTCCCCATTAGGGAATGCAGACTACCTTACCTTTAGTGAAGCTGCTACAATTCCTACACACAGTCAGCTGCACTACTTTCAGGCATACTTGAGTTTTATTCAACTCAAAAACTAAAACATTATAACAGCTCCATAAAATGTATTTTTAAGGTGACTGGGATTACTGGTTATAAGATACTATTTGTAGCAGGTGTACAGTACAAGGGGGCTGGACAAAGTATACTATCACAGTAACTGAACATATATGACAACAGTAAATATCCGCCACTACTTGTGTTACTGAACAAACAACTACAGACAAATGAAAGGAAAAACATATCTAATGCAGATGCTTCAGTGCACCAGAGCGCACAGAATTGTTTGGCGAGTATGAAAGTGACCTGAATAAAATGCTACGGTCTTTACGGCCACCAGATCTCAACCCAGTTTCACACCTATGGAAGATTTTTTTGATCAATACATAAGACAATGCTCTCCTCCACCATCACCATAAGACCGAATGATATAAACATTTATCTGTTATATGTTGGGATTTTCTGTATGTTAAAATTTGTTGCATTTGTCTTTTAAGACCTATTTCAAGTATACTGTATGTAGTCACTTTGCCAATGTACACACATGTGTAGTATGAGCCCAGTGATTTGTAATTCATGTATGCCTCACCATATAAAATATACATATTAATATCTGATGAAAATGGGGGCAAAATTTTTATTAATTTTGCCTGCATTTTAACCAATACAGGAGGTCTAAACCAGTTATACATGCTTGGTTTCAAGCCCTAAAACAGTACTATGTGACTGAACGTGAGCAGTGGACACTGACTTGCTGCTTGTGCAATGTAGCAGGTGTAGACTTTGGTGAAATAAAGATATTTACTGATGCATCAGTTATGTATAAGAAAGAGTGAGAGTTACTCACGTTCTCCAGACAGGTGCTGTCTTTGTCCTTGTTGAGGTAGTGGCGCTGCCAGAAGCGCAGTAGGTTGTGGAAGTTGTTGAGTAGGCAGCCCGGGTACTTCTCAGCATACTCCTTCTCCCGCAGGGCGTTGAGGTAGAAGGGCAGTTTAGCCTTTCTTCTGGCCAGCATCAAGATCACCAAACTGGTGTTTAAACAGCTCACATTCTCCTGCAGGGAAAAAAAGAGATGGGACGGATGCAGAAAGGAACCAAATAAAAGTGATAAACTACTTTGCATAAAAAAAAATTTAAATGCTAATTGTAGCTGACATTACTTTAAGTTTACATTAAAATAGTCTTCAATTTATTTGGCTGGATTTGTGATTCAAATCATTTCTAATTTTTGGTTTCTTTGAATACATGTGACAAAGTGAAAGTGAAACGAGACCTGTGTGAGTGTCTGTACGTTGATGATGTTGATCAGTCGGAAAAGGAAGGACAGCCTGTTCTCAACTCTGGCCATGTAGGACAGCAGGCAGCACTCAGAAAGTACCTCCACCACTGGGAAAAATACAGAACACAGGAATCAATGCTTAATGTCCTCTTTTCAGTGTGGACACAGCACTAATGTAAATGAATCTTTATTTAAAACTGTATTCATTTTCACATTTATCCAGTACATAGGTTGGATGAATGTTTTACACAAATCACTGCATTTTACGTTTTTCAAACACCATTTAGCAAAATGTATCTATACTTATGTATGCTTTATCAAATGTAATTCCCCAAAGGGCTCAAACAAAACAGAAACAACTATTCAAAATTCAGCAATAAATTCAAATGAAGAAATGACTTCTGTAACTTCTCTTTAGAATAGTCTCTAATGAACTAGTCTACACATGTAAACTTTCCATCCCCGTTTACCTTTGACATCTTCAGTCTGGCTCTCAAAGCGGTCCAATGAAAGGACAATGCAGCGCACCAGCATGTTTGAGTCCACCAGAGAACTGTTGATCTGCGTCAGGAAGGTCTGAAACTACAGAAGAGAAATCAAACTACACCATGTTCATCAACCACCATTATTATTTTGTCAGGCCAGCATATACATTTCTTTTTTATAAAGCATATCAGGTGTACAATTATACCTTCTCGGGAGTGTTAACATATTTGTTGAATCTTTTGAAGGCATCAATGTTGAACTTCATGAGCTCTCCAAGCAGATCAAAGTAGCTCTGTAGGACATCTCGAGACGTACACCCACTGTCTATGATGCAGAACAGGATGTGCTGTCGAGGGATGGAAGCAGAAAGTCAGCATCCATTCATTAGAGAGAAGTCAAAAATCAAGGACAGGTCTGTGAAGTGTAGACCGTCTTCGTGGATGTTGAGAAAAACAATCTGTGGTTGTAGTTTCACCTCTAGCAGTCCCCTCTTCAGGAGGAACATTTGGTCTGCATAGGAAGTGGCTCCTCTGAGAAAACTTTCCACTGCCCTCGCCTGCCAGAACCTGCATACGCAACACAAAGCTTGAGCAAAGCTACAAAAAGCAGAACTAAAGAGACAAATCTTGAGAATTTAAGTGCATAGAGACTGGTAATCCAATATGAGGAGTTTTGACTCTTTCAAGAAGGCAGACCCTTAAAATATCAACATCTTTATCTCCTGCGTCTTGATCTTTTTCCTACGTGATGCAGACCTGAAGGACGAGTCTGGAGGCTCCCTCTTCATGACGGTGAGGATGCGCGTGAGGAGGCCCTTCTTCCCATCACACACTAGGCTTCTGTCTGTGTTGACCAGAGCCTCCACCTCCGGGATGTTCGCCTTCATGGATATGGCACTCAGTTCATTTAGCTCCTGGCTGTTCAACAGGAGGTATTTGTTCCTGAAAGACAGACAAAACATTTTTAAAACTACAAGCATAACTTTAAAGGAGAAGTCAGATCCAAGCTTGCTGAATCAAGAGTCACTTACTCATGATGATCACTGAAACTCTGAAGTAGCCGCA